GTCTCTGTGTGTCCCTGTGATGGACTGGGGACCGTCCAGGGTGACCCCGCCTCTCCCCATTGGCTACTGGGATAGGCTCCAGTTCCCCCCGACCCCATTAGGGGATAAGGGGTAACGATAATGGATGGATAGATGGATGGATGGATAGTAATTCCGGTCTGATTTCCACCCTCTCTGGTCTGTATCAGAGCGTTTAGCTAATTCTTCCTGCTCGTGTCCCACAGGAGTCGTTCCATCTGTTTTTCCCTTTATCCCAGATTTTGCTCGCTAATTCCACTAAGTGCCCACAGAGATTTTTATGATACATAAAGGTTCCCGGCAGCCTCCGGAGAGCTGAGGAGTGTTAGAATCGGGCTATAATTACTCACTTTAGCATAGCATGCTATAACTTAATCCATGTAAATGACTGATTGTCTTATTCCTTTCTAGATTCATATTATTCCCTTTAGAATTCTACTTTTGGGTTAAACTCTCTGGCTCCTCCTCCTCCTCTCTCTGTTACAGTAGATACTCGTCTTTAAGGTCAATATTCACACTTTCTTATCACATTCCACCAAAACCTGCATGAATTAGGACCTGGCCTGTTCATGTCAGAGCTAACTGGCCAATAACACTCAGAAGATAAATGTCCAAAACACCCGGAAATGGAGGCTCTTTGCTAACTGAGATCCTCCGGGAGCTTTTGTCTGTGAGAGTCCAGCTAATTTACTCTGCTTGTCACCAATAAATGTCATATTTGTACTCTTTATCTGCTCTGGTTTATTCTCAGGCTTCCAGCTAAAGATTCGGGCTAACACACTGCTGGATAGTCTCATTTCCGACCCTTTTTTTAGGAGAAAATGTCACTTTTGAGACTCTTACTCCTGTTTATTCTAAGCTTTAGAGGTTTAGTCTCACAGAAATCAGCTAAAACTACAAACTGTAACAGGAAATGGGAAAAGCTGACCGATATTAATTAGTTTGTCTGCCTCGTGACCCAATAAATGTCATTTTTATACTCTCGATCCTCTCCGGTTTGTCCTCAGGCTTCCAGATAAAGAACCGGGCAACTAAACGCGTCAGGAAATCTCCACAACATCGAACCTGCCTCCAGAACCCTGAAATGTCTTTTTAATCTTCTCATTTGTATTATTTTTTATGTTTTTATGTTTGATTATTTTATTTTT